GTACGTTCGATATATTTTTTTATTTTTATATCATATTATCATCGCGCATTGTCCCTACAGGCGTACTTTACAATATAATCCCTATAATTTCTGGTAGATAATTGGCGATATCCTATCCCTAGTCGGGTCGCCAAACGCCTCCTGGAAACGTAATGATTTAGAGAGGCTGAGTCGCCAATTTCTAAAGGAGGGCTTATTTGAATAATGCACCTCATAATAAGTACTTAGCTACACAGTTGAAATTTATTGCCCTGCAATCAGGTCCAATCAATTTACGAAAACGGTATCCTAGCTCATTACCTTTAATTTACAGCTGGTCCGCCGGTAATTTTCGTGTCAGAGTTACTTATTTTCTGTCATGGGTTCCTTTGGGCTTTCCCGTCGTGGGGAGAAAATGCGACATTTGATTTGAAACAAATCAGCTATCTTTTTAATGCCATTCGGCTACATCGTGGTAACTTATTATTTTGTTCTGTGTGATTTCACATATATTACAAATTAGTGTTTACACATAGAATTTAAGTATATAATTATATCAATTCCTGTATTTTGCTAGCAAAAGAGGATCTTTCCAAATCTAGTGATTGCACCAAACCCTTTATGACTTCGGGCGCATAAGAGAAAGTGCGACTGGAGACATAATAAGAGTTATGACGTCCTATTACCCTTGGCTCTAATCGATAGCTCCTGACACATAGCCGTGGGCGAGCACAACAGCCCTGGGGGGAACTCCTCGTTAGTGAACGCTCACGTTCGGAGCATTATGGGGGAGGGGGACGAAAAAGGAAAAAGAAAACAATTAATATAATAAAGGAACAAATTAAAGATGGCGAGAGGAGGCGATTAGTGGGAGCGTGATAGTCGATTATTATACAGACAGTTCTCCGACAATAATTACAATAAACACGACGCTCTGAGGACTTATGAGTATTTGATGCCTCCTAAATGTCCGGCAGTAAATCTTAACAGTCTCACTCCATCCGATGAAATATTCCTCAACTATGTGAACCGTTGTGTTGCAGCCATCCGTCACACCTTAATTACGATTTTCGCACGGGAAGAGTCGGCTCTGACATCTACTGATAACTCCGACCTAATCTCTTCTCACGTTTCGAGTTCCGTGGCCTACCATATCCGTCGAGCACGAGGGCAACTGTTCGGGCGGCCGATGAAGACCTGGAGCGTCTGTGCAACAGGATGTGGCTGCAGTTGGATAATTGGAAAAACGTGCAATTGTTCCTTCTTGCATACAGATGTTTGGGAGCATCAACACAGTAATTGTGAGGGAAATGGAAGACATGCCTAGAATATGATCGCATTACGAGAAATTAACTGTTTTTCTGAAACTTAAAGTATACCATTCAATCCCGTTCAACAGAGACTAGTTATTCAGCAGAACATACATTTCATAGGTGATAAATAATCAGGTTTCAATCGGTTAATGTTTATTTTCCAAACCCAACCATCCGTTTTACATTTACCGATTTACATCCATTATCTATTAATAATTACATTTCTCTTTCTGATATAATTTTCAGTCTTGAAGCTGGCCCACACGATTGGGTTGAAATGTAAAATAACTTATTATTTGTCACCTTTGATAACTGGAACAGCCGACGGACTACCGTAAGCCATAGGCAATTTCATTAATAAATAGGCAATAGGCTTTGCTACGGTGGATTGTAACGGTGGATTGCATGATTAGATTAATCTCCGAAGTTACTAGTCGATCTGCTCCGACTGGCATGCCTCTATCAATTAAATGATATTAACCTACAGGATCATATGTAACCCTTGACATTACTGTTTATTTAAGAAATCCTTCGTTATTCTTGACGACTTCATGACACCTTTCATACATACCTCGCATCTTTCACGGAAGGATCATGGAGAATTCACCTCATCGGCTTTGAGACCGATAAACAAAAGAAAAGTGAAAAATGGCTACTTGTTAATAATTGAAAGGGGAACTAGGCCAGTTTTTATCTTTCGGGGAGGAGCTTTGTCCATCCCCGGATATCTCTCCCCGGCTGCCGCTCTGCGTGCGAGAAAAAACGCGTTTTGCTCTCGTTCAGGGAAAAATAATACGATATGTGCTCGCTCGTGTAGAATGCTTCCCTTGTAATCAAATCAATTACTGTCTGACAAATAAAGTCTGGTTCCAGTTTTTTTCCAATCAGGGGCTTGGGAAAACTGGATAAAAAAAAAGAATAATAGAGACCCCAGACGTTTTCGGTGGACATGGAAGCAGAAAATTGAAAAAAATACGACCAATATTTTCTTCAATTTTTTGTGTATTCCGCTTCATCTCCCAATAGCTATACGTTTTGTGTTTCCTTTTGAAATTAAATCGTGCCGGCTAACACCGGAAGCTTAACAAGAGGGATATGGAATTTGGATTGTGTGAGCGATCGGTGTCGTGATTTTTTTCTCTTCCTTTTCTTTGATTCTCACTGACCAGTGAGGGATGACAGAGGTTTCTGATAAAAATGCAAACAACAGGAATAGGAATCACTGGGCTCACATTTATTCCTAACCTGGATCACTCTTACGCTTTGTGAGTAATTTTGAAAGCATTTCAAGCTTAACGGACTATAAAGAAACTTCTCTGATATTTTATTTGTAACTGTCATTTTTCTTCTATTTTATTACTAAATTATTATTTATTTAGACAGAATTTTCTATAATTAATTTAAATGAGCATGAAAATAACACTTAAAATACTAAACACCTTCCAATCCTAAGTTATAAATAGATTTTAATTGGATATCAAATTATTGATTATTTATGCTAATTCTGTCTACTTATTTTCAACTTAAAATTTCTTAAGTACAGTATGGTAGTTTGATAGTACCAGCTTAAGTAAGTTGGGGAAAAATGAAAAATCATTTCGATACTATATTAATTATATAAAAACTATACCTTTTATGGTCTGTTAGTGTGGATAGTACAAACACTAATTCAAACTTATATAATTTATAAAAGTATCCCAGCATGAGAATTTTCCTTACCTTATGTTGACTGCGCCCTTCACATTACGATTGATATGGTTTTAATCATGTATGAATTTTGCTGATTATTCATAGGCTATTGGGACTCAGAAATCTAAATAATATTAGAAAAGAAGTACGGGTGTTTAAAAAAACTTTAATGAAAGCTGGGAAAGTTATATTTATTCCAACCATTCTTCAAGCATATTAATATAAGTGCTTCAAATTCAAAGGCCGTGATAGCTATAATATCAAGCTTTGTCTAATGGCCGATTTGAAACCGACCTGGGCAAGTTGAAATTTAATTTATTACAAACCCAAGGAATGAACCTAAACATTTCCTGGTTAGAATATGTTAGTTATACCGGTTGAGTGATTCCTCCTAATCTTCTCTATAGGCCAGAAATTGCCAGGCGAACAACAAGGAAAACACGTATATAGTGGGTTTATTGTGAAAGTGATTAAGAAACATTTCTTGGAATAAATTTACTTAGGTACTTCGATTTGTCTCTGTGAAATCAGAACATTGTGCACTTAGTGTAACTATTTTTTATACATAAAAGGGTTTATATAACTTTCGTGTATTTTCAATGGTTTTTCATCGGTATACATAAGGTCGAAATTCAAAAAAAGAACTATTGAAAAGTACAGTTCCATTAAAAATGTAGTTTGTTACATTTTGCAATACACCGGTGATACACTGCTTATGATTCTTCTTATTTAAAAGAAAAAAAAATGTCATGAATTGTTTTAATCGAATGTTTGATCCTTGAAATTATCATACCGAAAACTGAATCTTTGGTTCTAGTTATTGGTTTTCTATTACAAATTTTCTTTAAATAAATGTTGGTACTTATATAATCTAGTATTGTTGCGTACAGTTTATCAGTTCTTATGACTCATCTTTTGAATTACCAGGCATAAATTATTTTTATACGAATATTTTGCTTAGTGTCGTATTCATATTATGATCAGTGTTTCCAACACATTTTTTTAATTTCACTTTTGGTCAGTCAGATTTTACCTTTTTTCTCTTGAAAGCTGACTTAAAAACCTCTTTCACCCAAATATATACAAGATAATGGGCAGTGTAGTATTATATGTAATTACTCGTTTTATGTCTGTTTTACTATATTATTAAAACAATTAGATTAAACTGTGTAAAATTATTTCAGATTAGGTTTTGATCGATAAAAATTGTTTTCCATATTTTTTCTACTCACAACCATGGGATTTCCATAAAAAATAAACTCATTTACCAAAGTGAATCACTGAATATTATGCATACCAACTTTAAGCGTTTCCAGATGGTTGAAGTAGGAATGGGAAATTTTCAAAATTTATTTTTTTGTTCTTCTTCGCCTCTTAAGCTATAGGGACGTTTTTCCGGGCCAAGGGGTAATGGTGGGAGATTAATACCAGAGTTAAAAGCCCCTCAAACTCAGAGACGCGAACTCGTAATTATTTTTTTGTATGTAACTCCGGGTATTAGGTTGCCAGCGGGACACACCCGCTCGGTCACCCGGCATCCATAGCAATGGAGATATTACTATCCTGTCTAAGATTTCATTATATTTAAACCATTATAAGTTGTTGTATTAATCAATTAGGGAGAACCGATCCTCCCCCCTTCCTCCAAACACTAATGGGTTTTGTAATGATCCAGATTTGTATTTGGCCGGAATAAGTGTTCTACTTAGGGTCGTAAGGAATTAATTTCCGCTCAGCTGCTAGGCAATTCAGTCCAGCTAATGAGAAGACCAACCTTGGAACAAAAACTAAATCAACCTCTTACAACCAATCATCCCAGGGATATAATAAATAATAACCTGTAATGCATAATACTTATTGAATAATAACCAAGGAAAGAGTATAAATAACCGATATCTACTTTATAGAATGTTGCCGATGGGTCTCTCCCTAAGACACACGACCTATCCCTGTTATAATTGTTCTCATCTCTCACTAAATTAGCTAGAATCCCTTAATTACAAATTACACCCTTCCCCCAGCTGGTGTTGTATTACCTTGTGCTCATTAGTGGTAATTACAATAATTAATACAATAATAACGTTTATATTGTTATGGACAATCTTCTACCGCTCCAGGCCGGGCAATTTATTTCCCTCCGCGGTTTTCGTCATTAACCTCTCTCTATCTTCCAAAGTTCCTCTGTTCTCTTTCTCTAAGCTATTCGGTTTCAAGCTCTAATCTCAAATACTTGTACGTTTTTAAGTTGAGTTAGAACTTAACAAAAACATTTCATCCAATAATACATCTCCATAGCAATTCAAATTTAAATAATAGTTTAGAAGATCTCTATTTTATATTGTTGTTTCGAAAATAGCGAACTTGACTTACATTACTATCATTCTAATCTCTTCATGTGGTCTGGTAATCAAATCAGGTTAGTACCTGAACCAATCAATCTGTGATATGTGATTGAGAAAAATATTTTAAAACTTGCAATTTCTGGTATCACAAATTGGATGTCTCCGTCAGTAACATAATGATTTTTTTTTTTTTTAAATTACGTATACAATTCATAGATATTGTTTGTCTGAATATAAAATACATATGTCAAGTTTTTGTTTATGTAACAGCAGTATAGAATTATGTTTCCATCTATGTTTGCGGCGATAAAGTCATTCTAAGGAGGAATGAGGACATCCCATATAAAAAGTTACCCGGCGGCTTAGTATAATACGGCAGTGCCCCCCGAATTTGATAACAGGCCGAAGACAATTTTTCTGGGCGACCCCGAAGAGGAAACGAGGAGCAAAGCGGAAACTGTATTATGTAAATAGAGAGGACATGTAAGGAGATTGTTTCTCCTTGGGGGGAGGGCAGGGCGGCGTGAAATTAGACCGGACCTCCCGAGGGGCCCCATGCAAATAGCCTGTCCGCTCCGCCCCGCTGGGCCCCAGGCCCCTACAAAAAAACCTCCTTTTGACCTCCTGCCGTCCCTATCTGGCTCCTGGTAATTGATCCTCGATTCGAATCCTTCCTCTTTCCTCGAGAAAAGGGGGAGGGGGCAGTTTTTCGATATTGCTCTTTTAAGAGGGTTCAACTCCTGTTTTATATTCATTTCGGGTACATTTTGCAAATAAAATGGACAATTTTTTATTTATGTTATTTAGATTTTTTTTTTAATTAAATGATAACCCATTTATTGAGTTCCAAAATCTTAAACCGCATGCCAAAAATCAAGTAAGAAACGTATTGAATTAAATATAATCAAAATGAACGTATAGTAATAATGACTATAAAGTCATGAGTCTCTTATATTATTATATTTTAGGTATATACATATACATATATATATTTTATTCCTTCTAATCAGTTGTTAAATATAACCTCTATTATGCAACCTTTTGTTTCCTTCGTATGTATCTGGATGTTTTAGTAAGATGTCAATAGGAAATCAATTTTATTTTTTTATTTTTGTAATATGCGATTTTTTTTTCTGTCCGCTCTTCCGCCAAAATATATACAAGATAATAATATATTTATATGTAACTACTCGTTTTATGTCTGTTTTGTTATATTATTAAAACAATTATATTAAACTGGGATTTATTTCAGATTAGGTTTTGATTGATAAAAATGGTTTGCAGATTTTTTCCCCTCACAACCATGGGATTTCCATAAAAAATGAACTCATTTACCAAATTGAATATTATGTATATCAACTTTAAGCGTTTCCAGCGTTCTTCTTCTCTTTATTATGCGGAGGTTTTTCCGGGCCAAGGGGTGATGGTGGGAGGTTAACGACAGAGTTAAAAGCCCCTCAAACACAGGGACGTGAACTCGTAATTATTTTTTTGTATGTGACTCCGGTCATTAGGTTGCCAGGCAACGCGCCGTGCTATGCACACACCCGCTCGCTCACCCAACCTCCATAGGAATGGAGATATTACTATCCTCTCTAAGATTTCATTATATTTAAACCATTATAAGTTGTTGTATTAAAAAAATAAGATGTCAATAGGAAATCATTTTATTTTTTTTATTTTTGTATATATGCAATTTTGTTTTCTTGTTTGCAGGTTATCTTATACCTTGTATTAATACCGGCTGCTTCTTTGTGAATGATGAAAAAATCCTAGGCAAAATCATATGTTTTCTCTCCGAAGAAGGAATCTTAAAAAATATCTGAATCTCTCACGCAGCACTCCTCACCGCTTTTTTTCCTCTTACCATTTTTTTTTTCTTTTTCTTTTTTATCTTTAACTTAGCGAACTTTAAATAACTAAACTTTAATAACAATAAACAACTTTTAACCTTAACGTGCATTTTACATTTTTTAAATTTTATCCAATTCTTAATATTTATAACCAAAAGATATAATATATAATTTTAATTAACGGTATTGATGGCCAACAAGTTCTACGCCTTTAGTACACAACCAACTAACCAACCTTGTATTATTCTATTTATATTGAATTAAAATACATCACGATAACTTTTACCCTTAAACCTGCTATGGCAGATTTTTAATTTGTTGGGTTAAGTAAATAATACTAAGTTTTCAGGACGAACGGAAAAAAATAATGATTCGATTTTTAAAATTAATTAAAAAAAAATCCTGAAGGAAATAAATGAAAAATATCAATGTTTTGATGCTGATGCAATGGTAATATACACGTTTGGATTCTGATGTTTTTGAAGATTGATAAATCGATATTTTTGTCGTAAAAATTCATGGCTCATGAGTCTTTGTGGAGGTCTCAATATGGCCCCCAAGCCAAAAAATTTAGAGATACCTGTTCTAGAGCATGACTACAATTGGAAGTACGGACTTAAGCCTCTTCTATCCTACCCATTTATATTCCTAAAAATCTGGAAATCCTTTTATTATACTACAAATAGTAATGTAGTTTATTTGTAAATTCTTTCAATGATATTTTCCATAATGTGTATGTTGTTATTGATCATGAGAAATTGCTAGGCGTATCACTTTCAATAACAATACTAAACTGCCGTTAACGAAATAAACTATGATCCAATATCAGCTTAGCGTTTCATGGGCAAGTGAAATGATTACAATTTTCCACAAAAGATATTTCATGTCAATGGAATATCCCGAACGCTAATCTCCGCTGAGCAAACGACATTACGCCAAGAGATGATCAGTTAAGGTCGCCCTCACACAGACGGCTCCAAGATCAATCAGGTTCCAATAAAGCCTCATTTTAAATATTAAATCTCCAAGGGTTTCCCAGGTCTTGGGCGGAGGAAGGGAGGGGGGAAGTCGAGGTATTAACATGTAGATTAGTGTATTAGTAAATAGGGCAATTATAAAAGGTTCCAACCAGTTGTTATTTGCATTTATATTGAGTATTGGCGCAATTAAAGAGCTTTTGTCTTAGTCTGTTAGGGAGCGCTGCTTCTTCCCGTCCAATGATAAAACAGAAATGAATTTAAACTCGGCTTAAATTAAAATGATAATTTATCTTCCCGCGAGGAACAGGTGACTTGGGGGTCTCCCCACCCTTTTCTTGTCTAATAGCCTTTGTCAGCCTTAGAGCCAATCAGCAAGATGGAGTAGAAATTGACGATCGAAAAATGTGAATCTCTTCAGGCTTGATTAAATAGCCGTATCTGATTAAAATGCAAATGGGAATGCACTTCGATAATAATACATCGTTTTACCTGAGCTGTTGAACTTGCATGTTACAAAATAATATATTTTGTCTAAGCCTTGTTAGGGTAGGTACAGATGATTTAATATACATGAGCTGATCCAAAGAGGTATTTAGTAATGTACATCAAAGAACCAGATTAGCTATTTCCTTCATATATACAAGCCAGATTTTCACTAGCAAGAGGCCACAGTCAGTGATCCTTCTACTCCACCCCCCTTTTTTTGAAACTGAAAACTTCTTTTGAAACGTTTTGCACTTTTTTTGTGGAGACTGAATTAGATTGGGCCTTCAGATCTCCGAAGTTCAACGCTCGGGTAAAATCGGTTGGAATCGACTAATTGAAGTGTCTTTGCGAACAGATTATAATATCTCTAAAAATAAAATCTGACCTGCATACTGTAAGCGAGAAAAATGTTCAACATTTCATCCTCTTTATAATAAGCTATTATTTATAATTCATATTTCATATTATTAATCCGGCCTTGTTGATGTTTTCACTTCTATCGTGTTGTCTGTCTAAAGCACACACCTTAGTAGTTTTTTTTTTTTTCATTCTGTAAATAAAGATCAGTATTATAAGACAACTCGAAGTACCGAAAACTAATATCAACTCTATATATTATACTGTCTTATTTATAAAAAAATATTCAAATTTTATAGACCGACATAGCAATGTGGTGGTAAATATTTTTTTAAAATAGAAACAAGGTTAATAATTATTTTCGGCACCTCGAATACTTCTTAAATACTATTTTTTGTAGAAATCGAACAATAAAAATGCGCATAAATATTCATCTAAGTTGGACTTCCATTTTTTAAGAATGAAAATTAAACTGTGATAACCTCAAAAGTAATTCACTGATTATCTAATTTATCATCACGGATAAATTTTCAGGGATTTAAGGATCTATAGATTCCATGAAATGGGACAAACCCGAACCCCGTAAACAAATTAGGAGAAACGATATAGAATAAAAAACATTGAAAAATTTTTTATATATTTCTACTTTACAAAAGATTAAAATGTAAAAGTTATGGATACGGTTTGGAAGAGCAGTAATTTATCTTTTCCACGATTGTAGGTTGAATTCGGAGAAAATCCTGAGGAGTAATGAATGCTGAAATAAAAATAATGAATGTTGACGCCTGAAATAAAAATGTTTCGAGAAAATCAAGTATTAAATTTTACATTTTTTTATTTCTATAAGAAATTATACTTGAGAGTTTGAAAGGACATTAAAAACCAAATATTTTATTTTTTAAATTTATTTTCCATTAAATTTGCCACTGCGTTGTAACGAATCAAGTAAATGTGTTGACGTTTATTTTATCTACTTGTATTCTTGATACTTCTTTAACTTTTCTACAGATCTCTAGACCACTGCTTTTTTAGACGTCGTTGAGGCTCACCAAGTAACAGGGAGGAAGATAGAGACAGAACGAGTGGATTTGGATGATTGAGAGTAGAAGAATGAAATGTTGTGTACTTGTTGAGTATGTAGGATTTTCTTTTGGTATGTTCATGTCTGTGTGTATGGTGTGATTTGAAATAAACCAAGGAGCATAAATAAACCAAATATAACTCGTTTTTTGAAACGAAAATTTACTTTGCCTTCTTTACTCGTCGCACTTTTTTAGTTTTCGGAATTTATGCATTTTAACTCATTTAATACTATAATAATAAAAAAAAAAAGACATTGATCAGTGTACAATAACCTGAAATTCCGGATAATGGAAAACATAATTTATTTATTTATTTATTTTTAAATATATACAATTTTTTTCTCAACTACTATGGCCAATTGGAACGAGAGCCGAAACAGGTGTCTAATATTTTTCGATGAAGAATTCACAAAAAATAATTGTTTGAAATCGTTGACCTATTGGCTAGAGACTCGCTGATTGCGACCTCTCCTAGTAAGAGAGCGATTGATGAAAAGAGCTGAATTAGATCGTTTCACAAAAAGATTCAATTAAATAAGAAAATTTTATTTCATAGGAAATATATTAAAATTTCATTTTATTTATAATGAAAACATAATTCCAGTGTTATTGCAGACAAGGTTCTGAAAGAAAGACAATGTTAGAATTAACTTTTTACAACACGGCATAAGGAAAACACCCGCCTTTCAAAAATAAAACACGGAGGCGGTAATAACGATTAAGTTTTTATAAAAAGTGAGGGAATTACTCTGGAGATTGCCGGCTGTTGGATACCCGGCGGTGCATCATTATTTTCTATTAATTACCTTCAGTAATGAGTTTAATTCCGTATTTTTCTTTCTTTGCTGCTTACATCATTGTCTTTTTGCACCTTAGAAGCCGATGAGAAAATAAAAAAAAACTAAAATAAAATAAAAACAATGCGGATAATGAAAGCCTTATTTTTTCTAAGGCCTTGCAATCATAAGCGAGAGCGAGTGCAACATAATCGTTACAAGATTTCTCCAATTCAGTTAATTATCAACGATAAGTTTAAACATTACAAAGTACACTTTGTTGCTAATTTAATAATAAATAATATAATAGGAATAAAAAATTCAAAAATGATTTTTTGATATAATTCCATTTTCAACGTGAAAAATATTCAATTAAAAAAAAGATAAGTACAATTCCGTCTGAATGATTTCTAACAATCCTACCAACCATAGTATTAAAAATATCCTCAAATAAGACAGCAAGAGAATGCCCCAGCATATCGAAGAAAATCGGATAAAATGTACATACTTTTAGAATAAGCATAAGTAGATGAATAGAAGTAAAGGCACAAAAAAATACAAATCATGAAAACTTACAATCTTCTTAATATCTACTTAACCTTTTTACTGTTTCAATTATAGATTTCGCATTCTTTATAAAGTAATCATGTAACATTGAAAATAATTGCTAAGATTATATAAAGAATTTCATTTGTTGCAAATATTTGAAATTTGGGTTTCCCCAATCACAAATGTATAAGCTCGATTCATTACTTTTTTTTCCGATAAGTAATTAAACCATGTTTAAAACAAAATCTATAATTAATAATATAATGTTCGGTTTATCGCAAAAAGTAACTTGCTTAAATATTTAAGTATTCCGATGCTAAATCTGATTAAGTGCACCAAGTTAATATAAACCCAATTACATGTCAAAAAACATGCAATAAGTGAACTGTTTTGATCTCACCTAAAAAAAGTATTTTGTGATTTATTATTCTGAAATGTTACCTAATAACTTTTCGAAAAAAAAAAATACGACGTTTTCAGTTTATTGCAAAACGTCACTAAATGATGGATATGACCGACTATACCAGTATATACTTGATAAAATATCAGAGGAAATGTATTTATTTCTTGGAATTATTTCGTTTTGTATTATTATTTAAGTATTTATAAAGTTTGATATGTTATAAAAATATAATTTTAACACAAACTTTTAACTGTTTCAGATACTGCATCCTGTTTCCTCGAGAAGGCAAGGAGCACGCAAGGCAGGAGAACGGTTTTAGTTTTAATTATGAAAAGAAATCATTATCTTCTCAGATAATAAACGTTTAAGGAATGAAACAAGAAATAACATTAATTACTACCCAGAACTAAATTTTAATTGTAATTGGCTTTCTGGCTAATTGCGTGAGGGTTAGTATCCTTTGGGTCGGGGATGGATGGGTGACCTGTATCGGCCTAAACAGTATCAGCCACCTGCCTATCTCCTAGAAGATATATATATATATATATATATATATGATTATTTTATATATATGTATATATATATACTTATTATATATAAAGTATAAGCATGTTAATTTGAGTTATACTTATATGAAAAAAAAATAAATAAAATGCCCTCGTTATAAGTTCTTCTTTTCTCAGTTAAATTTCCGGCTGAAAAATCCCAAGAAGTCAGAAAAATAAAATTGAAATGACTGCAATAAAATTTACATAAATGATAACTATCCTTAGTTATTACGAAATAGCGTTTCATATAATAGAACATGTTCTTTCTGTTTTTAATTTGAGGGAGAAAATTACCTTATTGTCTTGACAATATACTAAGTTTTATAAATAAATTAATTTTATTTGTTCTCTATATTATGTAATGACGTTATTAGCGAATGTCATATTTTATTTTTCAACATCAACAAATTAAAATTCTGGGATGAAGACTTGAAATTTATTTATTTTTCCTACTTAAACTATATTGGAAAAAAAAAAATACTACAGAATACATGCAAATTACAGGTATACAATTTGAACAACGACAAGTAAAATTAAATGAAAAGTTGAATAATTTGTAAAATGGGGGTTGGTTCGCCGTCAGGCAGACAGGAGTTATCCCCCTAGTTGTTAATAATTAAAGAATTTAATATAATCTTTCTATAGATTTTCTATTTGCACTATTTTCTTCTGAATATAAATATATGCCAATTGATTTATAATGTGAAGCATGTTTTCTGGATCCACTCAACCTTAAAATATGTGATTGAAGCTCCACTGATAATATGAACTCTTTTATTTGAGGTCCAAGAATTCACCGAAGAAGTTTCTCTTGGACTATAATGGACATGTT